AGCAGATAGCGGTGCGGTGCGGTCAATGACATGCGTCACACCGAGCGACTTGAGGTACGCCTCATTATGCAGCGAGCCTGTCGTGATGATAAGCGAGAAGCCGGACAGCTTCGCGAATTGAATTGCTGCGCATATAATCAGCACCTCCTACCGTGAATGTCACGAGAGCGGGCATACCCTGCTGACCGACAGCAGAAGAGCCGCCAATTATGAGGATAGGCTCGTCAGCGTATTTGCCGCGGCCACCCTCCTCCCAAGGAGCGGTGAGCGCAATGCCGCCCGCCTCCTTGCGGTTGTAGAAACCAAGAGCAGCGGTCGCTGCTGCTGCTGGGACCGAAGAAGCCTGGTCCAAGGTCAGGTTTTGCGGGACCTGATGAAGATGGTCAGACGGGCAAGACATCCATTTTTAGGAGACGCACTCTGGCGACGAGCTCTGCAAACGCGACAGTATACTGCTGGAACGTGGCATGGCGGTTCTTGGTAAAATCTCCTTGGAAGAGTCTACTGGCCATTAGCGCTTCATAATCATGCAATATGCTTTGTACTTACACCTTGTCGCCCACGGAGATGTCAGTCACTTCAGCGCCGACCTTCTTAACGATGCCCGCCGCGTCGGCACCGAGGATAGCAGGGTACTCGGTGATGAGGATTCCAAAGGCCTGGATCTTCCATTCACCAGGGTTGAGTGCAGCTGCGTGGATCTCGACGAGGACTTCGCCGTGACCTGGTTCTTCAATATCCCTCTCCCTGATCACGAATTGGCCTTTGGCCTGAGAGAGATAAAGAGCTTTCTGAGTAGACATAGTAGGGGCAGCTTGGATAAAAGCGCAGTAAGCAGTAGTTGTAGGCCAGATGTGCCCACACATGTACGCGAATTATAGGTGCCGATATCGGAATATGCGTAAGCAGGACCCATGACAATTGGTGGGAAGGCCTGAGGACAGATTTTGCCGGTTTTGGCCTTTAGGTACGGACAAAATTTGCACGACGAGCCCAAAATAGTACGGACTCTAGCTCAGGCCTATCAGTTTCCTCGCCCATACTATGCCTGTTATTCCTTCGTGCATAGTATACTCATGTGTAATACATAAATATATATTACAGGAGTACCATTGTCCTCGGCCTCTTCTGTCGTCATTGCAGCTGCCGCCGCTACCGCCGCCCGCCGCTTCTCTCCATGCTTCGCGCAACATCGAGCAGCTTCAAGAGGTGCGGCCAGGGGTTTGTTGCACCAACAGCGGAAGCAGACTGGGCCTGCGCACCGCCGCCGCCGCCTGCCGGTGGTCGGCAGGTTGACTTGTTAATACAGCTGGGTCATACTTCAGAGGCCATGTACAGATGCATTAATTATCGTGGCCTTCAAAATATCTTCATGCTCTCGGCCTTTGTCTCTATCATTCTCAGGTCTCAATTTAAGGCGTACTACACTACAGAGGCTGGTGGAGAAGCTCGGCGGCGCCACGATGTGCACAAGATTGTGACAAATCCACTCAAGTTAGGTAGTATTGGATCTAAAGCTGGGTAATTAACCTGGAAGGACACCGACACTTGTCCAGACTACCGGGTATGGATTGCCCTTAGACATTAGTCAGTTTTCGTTGGCCGGTATGGACAATTCCTCAGAGCTCCCGGCCTACCGGCCGGGTTTGGGTACGGATTTTCCCTCCGCATGAGGGGTCCCGATGGCCGTTTTGGGTACGGATTGTCCTCAGGCCCTCCCACCAATTGTCATGGGTCCTGCGTAAGCCGACTGGAAAAATAGGGCGTCGAGCCCTCACCGGCGCCCTGGCTCAAGCCAGACAATCGATCAGATGTTTCAGAAGTACATGCGAGACGAAAGGACCCATGACAATTGGTGGGAGGGCCTGAGGACGATCCGTACCCAAAACGGTCATCGGACCCCCCCACGCGGAGGGAGAATTCGTACCCAAACCCGGCTGATAGGCCGGAAGCTCTGAGAAATTGTCCATACCGGCCGGCCAATTAAAACTGACCAATGTCTGAGGACAATCCATACCCGGCAGTCTGGGCAAGTGTCGGTGTCCTTCCGGGTTAATTACCCTGGCAAATGACGCAACTTTAGATCCAATACTACCTAAATTGAGTGGATTTGTCACAATCTCGCGCACATCATGGCACCGCCGAGCTACTCCATCAACCTCTGCAGCTGTAGTGTACGCCTTAGATTGGGAATTAAGAACGATGGAGACAAAGACTGAGAGCATGAAGAAGATACCTTGAAGGCCAAAGATAATATATGCATCTGTACATAGCCTTTGAAGTATGATCCAGCTGTATTGCGGCAGACGGTGGCTGCGGCTGCAATGTCAATGACAGAAGAGGCTGAAGACAATATTCTTAAAAAATAGTGTACGTTTATGTTCAACTAAGCATGCATGAGTATACTATGCACGAAG